TGGGGTGCTTAAGGTCACATTGAAATAACGTTCGTCTATAAAATTGAAAAAGTGATAATGCAATGTTTCCAAAAAACCTACGGGGCCTGTAGCGAACCAGTCATAATTCATAGATACATTGCTACATATGTCCATTACAAACATGCATAATACTTCACTTTATTGACTTCAGCCCGGGGTAGTGGGGAGGCTGGTATCCGTACCGCTGCACCTCACCTAAAATCAGCCTCCTCCACAGTCGTCGTGCCTCGTAGCAAGGTTACGACTAGAGGGCCCACAAAAGTGCGTCACACTTGTAAACAAAAGTGCGTCACACAAGTCTACGCAATTAAATTGGGTGTTTTTTCACCACTTTCTGAGCATGACTCCATATTTTTAAAAATTAAATAATTTTGAACGCTCGAGTTTCATTTGAGAACTAAAACTATAGTGTAAACGTTTACCCCGAAGGCTCAAAAAGCTGACATTTCAATCCTAACATTTTTCTGCCTCCACTGGAATGTACACTAAAGGCTAATTTCCACTCAGGAAAATTATCCGTGGATTGGAACGGACAAGAAAATGTTTCTTTGTCTTGTGAGCTCTGGGTTGGAACTAATGACTTTAACACAAAGAAAAATGTTCTTGTCCGTTCCAATCCACGGGTAATTTTCCTGAGTGGAAATTAGGCTTAAAGGCGGTTTTCCACTAGGCGAAATTGTTCGATCGAACCGAAATTTCTATTGTTCAAATTCAAAAGATTTCTGTTCAGTTCCATCATGAGTGCTTGTAAAGGTCCAGACACACCGGACGCGATTCGACAACGCGACGCGATTTTTTAGTTTTGGAAAGTTAATAAAACAGCCAATGAGAGCAAATTTTGAAAGATATGTAGACCAAATAACTCGAAATGTTATAGTGCTTCTAAATATTTCGAAAATTTAAACTAGGATCAAAGTTATCGTTCAGTGAAAATCGAAAAATCGCGTCGCGTTGTCGAATCGCGTCCGGTGTGTCTGGGCCTTAAGATAAAAGAAAATTTCGATTCGGTTGAAAAATTTCGCCTAGTGGAAAATCCTGCCTTGACTACAGTTTATAGTTGTTTAGTATAATTTCAGGATTGAAAAAGTGGCCTTTGTGGTTTGGTCATTCTGATTAGCTCCCTCAGCAGTAACTCGGAGGCAATAGTTACTGCTCAAACTGCTCTGAGAAGTAACTATTGCTTTTCCCAAAACAATGACTGAAAATTAGACGGAAGTAAATTATTTGTGCAAGTTAATTCGTAAAATAAACACGTGTATTAAGGCCCATCTATACGATACGACTAGTCGTATGGTGTAGGCATATGGGTCTTTAGTTGCATTTATAAATACAACTTTTTTAATACTGAAATTATACTAAACAATTAGTCGCCTGAGGCGAGGTGTTTACAAGCCTATGTTCACTTCGGTAAATATAGGCTTGTAATCACCTCGCCTCGGCGACTAATTGTTGTCTATCGCAGCCTGAATTTCAGACGTACTGTAGGATTACTTACACAAACTTTTCATTCATTAATTTTCAGACACAGAGGTACAATCTTATGTCTTGCACTGTCCGGCAATATCCTAGCTTCAGGATCAAGAGACAAAAGCGTCAAAGGTAACGATATTTCTCTAACGATTTTCCGCTGACCATTCTATTCATGGTTTGCAATTGGTGTCATGGCAGCCAAGTTGAAGCAAAACTAACAAAAGAGTCTCATTAACGGTTATTGTTATATAGCTAGGGTGAACACCAAACGTGATTGGCTGATTTGTGGTCACGTGACTTCAGATAAATGCTATGTATATCCCGCCGGGCAACAAGTGAAAAATTGTTGCCCGGCCGGCCGGCTACGTACATAGACAAACAAAATGGCGGCACAACTAGCATAATTGGAAACCACGATTTTCCAAGTTTGTGTTCAAATAAAGAATGTGGATATGCTGCTGAAACCGTTTAAGTAGGTTCTTTTAATTTTGAACTCGTTTACACTTTTGAGTTTTTGTCACGAAATACAATTGTTGTATAATGTTGTTGAATGTCGATTTTTGTTTTTCGCTATAATACAAAACGCTTAATGTCTGCTCCCGAGGGAAATAGTTTGTTTTGTTTTCCCGAGAGTCTCAATGTTTGTCGAGGGAAACATTGAGATTCGAGGGAAAACAAAATTGGTGTGTGTTTTCCTCCAACATGGCTTTTGTCTTGTAAATCTCATTAAATTTATTGCAAACCATCAATATGCATTGCATTTCTTGAGTGAAAAATTCTGTTTCCTACATTTTGTCGTTTTATTTAGTATGGAATTTTGAAACGGGAAAATGTCGGCGAACATTTCGTCATCGTCACGTTGTCCTCAGTGTTGATGTGTCTGATGATCTTGTGGTCAGCGGTTGTGAAGGATGGAAAGTGAAAGTTTGGGATATTGAATCAGCAACGCTTGTTAAGGTAGACTGGATAAACACGTGTATTATTTAATTATTGAATGAGGTGGAGCACGATATGAAGAATTATCAAGCCCGAAGTTTGCCGTTATCAACCGAAGCCGAAGGCAGAGGTTGATAACGGCAAACTGAGGGCTTGATAATTCTTCATATTGTGCGAAAACCGAATTCAATAATTTATTATTTATTTAAAAAATTCAAAACAAACTGAAGCCATTTGTAATTTATTTGTATTAAGAAAAAAACAATTCCTTAGTCCTTCGGCAGCCGTCGTCGTCATATCAATAGGGAGCTTTAGATTTGACTACGAATACGACTACGAGTACGAGATTCGTCAAGCTAAACGCATGCTGTATGCTTACGCCATCCCGTACTGACGCTAAAAAGTCGTAGCCGTCGCCCATCTGAGTACGAAATTGTGGAGAAACCTCGTAG